GATTGCTCATCCATTAATATTCAGTCAGATGATGTAGCCTAAACTACAGACCTATGAGCAGGTATTTTTACCATGTCCTCAAATAACTCTTTGACAATGACTTTATTTTTAAAATCTTATTTAGGAATGATATTTGTTTATTAATTGACTCTTAAATATGTGGTTTAAACATCACAGTAGAGAACAAGCATGTGTTCTTTTTACTTAATAGAAGTTTTGTTGGTCCTGGGGTTTTTAACTCTCTTGAGCACAAGGCTCACCAGTTTCTGGGACTGCTAAGGCATTGGTGTGATTTCAGTGTGGGAAAGGAAACTACTTTGGTACTGCCTTTAAAAAGAAAAAATTATCTGACTTGCTGTAGGCCCAAGATGTGGTTTCTTATCACCCAAAGCCCTCAAGTTAATGTGACCTTTAGGGCAAATTTTTGGACTGAGTAAGTAGTGGTAGAGGACAAAACTACTGAAAATTCCAGCTGTGTCAGTGGTAACTCTGGCTAGTTGAGACCGGGTTCCATTTTTGGGTATGGGTCATACTTCCCTCATACTTGGGATCATACTGGTCCAAGGTTTAGCCTCTAGCTCTGCAGTTCCAGATTTTATCAGTGTGCCTGGAATAACTGCTAAGCAACCTCTTCAGAGATTGTGGTTTAAACTAGACACTATTTCATTCACCATGAAAGGACCTACAGTCATCCCTGGGTTCTGTGGAAGACGATTGGTTCTAGGACCGCCCCCCGTGTACCAAAATCCACGAATGCTCAAATCCCTGATATAAAATGGTGTAGTATTCGCATATAACCTATGCACATCCTCCCTTATACTTTAAATCATCTCTAGATTACTTATATTATAATACATAATGCAGTATAAGTGCTATGTAAGTAGTTGTTACACTGTGTATTGTGTAGGAAAAAGTGGCAAGAAAAAAAAGTCTGCACATGTTCAGTAAAGACACAACCATTCCATTTTTATCCGGAATATTTTTGATCCATGGTTGGTTGAACCCACAGATGTGGACCCCATAGGTTTGAAGGGCTGACTGTAACTGATGACCGATATACTTGTGTCCACTATTGGAACAGTCCTTTCTCAGTGTCCAGGTTTATGAGGAATTGAGAGCTATTTAACAGGCAAATAACTAGAATGGAAGAAATTTGATGGTCTTGAGGAATATGTATTATTCTTCAGACTGGGAAACACCGCAAAGAATGCTGGAGTCTGACAGAAACTTTGTAATAATTTTTTACTTTTC